CGTTCTGGTGATCTTCCTCTATAACTTGAGTTATATGGGGATTGATTTCTTGTATAATTTGTATTGTTCGGGAGTGGTTTTCCTGAACTGTTGTTGCTGTGAACTGTTTTGTTCGGTAAATTTTGATCTTTTTTCATGTATTGATAGAATGATTTATTTGGTTCTTTGTATTTTTGAGGTTTATTTTGACTATCTTGCTGTTTTTGTCTACATTCGGAAATACTATGTCCGTATCGTCGGCAATAATTACACCATTTTTTGAAAGATGGTTTGCCTTTAAAGTTCGGGTTCTTTTCGTAAATATTGAGTATTTCAGTGATTTTTTCAACGAGGTCTGTTTCTGATTCCTGTATATTATTAATATTAGTGGGAGTCGTTTCAATTTTGTTAACGTATTGTAATTTCAGATTTTCCGTTTCTTCTAGTTTCATCGTGATTTCTGCTTGTTCTAGTTTGTCTACTAGTTTTCGAAAATCTAAATCGGGTTCTCGAATTGAAGAAGGATGGGATGCTCTCTTTTTTATTGCTATTTTCCTTAATTGTGGTGTTAAGGTCATCATTAAGATTTCTGTCATCTTTGTGTTTTTATAGTCATGTGTATTTAGTGAATATGCTTTTCGAACTAGTGTTTCGATTCGTACTGCTATTTGCTTGATGGTTTCGTTTGGTAATCTGCGAATTTCATTACATAAAACTCTTTGTTGTTGTTTGTTTCTTTCAGAGTCAAACATTTTTGAAAATTCTTGTGTAAATCTTTTCCAGTTTGATTTTATTTCTAGAGGTAGTACTGAAAACCATTTTTGGGCTGCGCCATCTAAGGTTGTTTGTATCAACGCTGTGCGTCGATGTATCCAGTTTTGATGTAGTGGCGTATTAATTGGTTCAGGTCCAATGTTTAAAATCAAATTTGCTGTTACTGCATTTAAATAATCTTCTACAGAGTATTCAGGGTCTGTTCCTGTGAAAACCATTAAAGGTTTATTTGATGTTATTGATGATCCACCCATAAGGTATGGATTCATTGTCATTTGTAATGATTCTGCTGCATTTGGCATTTGAGAAAAATTTGAAAGTTGGTTTCTTGTTATTTCATGTTGTTGGAGATAATATGGGAGTGGTATTTCATTTTGCATTTGTGATGGTTGATACGAGTGTGCAGTCATTGGATTTTGTTGTTGAATTGGTTGAAAAGATTGTGTATTAATTGGATTTTGTTGTTGAATTGGTTGTTGATGTTGTGCATCTATTGATTGTGGAGAAAAATTTCTATGATTTGTACGTGTTCTCTGTATTCCTTGTCTACGATATTCTTGAGTATTTGGTGCAAATATATCTGGTTGTAAGAAATCATCATCTGAGGATAAATAATCCATTTGATAAGATGTTTGTTTTTTATTTTTATTCTGTTGAAAAAATGGGTAATTTTCACTGCGATCCTGTGGAGGATTTGGTTGAAAATTTTTGGAGTTATATTGGGCCGTTGGGTTATCCCAGTTTCGAGGTTTTGTATATTGATTAAAATTCCTTTGTGGTTGATAATTTGTTTTTGATGGATGTGTATAATTATAATTATGGTCTGCAAAGTTGTTTCTAGTGAATGTTTTGCGTGGTTTTGATGGTATTGTCATGGGTCTGTATGTTTGGTAATCTATATGTGAATATTTAGGGGTAACCGAAGGTTTAACGGTTGATTGTAAGGTTACCTGTGTTTGTGAAGGATTTGTATTTCTTGGTGTTGTTAAATTTGGGCGTATTGGTGAAATACTTTGTTGTGTAGTTGTTGTATGTACAATTTCTTCATTTATGAAGTGTGATGGTGTTTGGATATCTTGTTGAGTAAGATTCCTAGTTCCATTGAGGTTTTCGTTGTGTATGACTGTAGAGTTTAAACTATTATTTTGTGTATCGGGTAAAAATGTATTATAGTTTAATGGTGTTGCATCAATTGTTAATGGTATTACTCTTACATAATCTCTTATGTAAGATATTGTACCTATTGCTTGACTTGAGATTGATTGTGGAAAGCTTATAAATGCGGGATGAGACCATTCGGGGTCCCAAACATAATCTGATTGTTCTGTGATAGCGGTATCATCGTTCGAATTTTGGGGTCGAAAATTTTTTCTTGCTTGTGCAATTAAATCAATATTGTGTGTGAAATAATCTATTATGAACCATGCCAAAATTTTTTGTAAATCGTGTTTGGTATGTTGTGAAACGTCGTCTTTCGTGAAATTTTCTTTAATGATGTTTAAATAACTAGAGAGTAGTGTAATTTCATGTCGTACTTTCAAATGTTTGGATGTTTCTGTCGGTGAGACATTTGTTAGTGGGAGTTCATTTTCTAATATCGAAATATAACTATATATTATTGCGAAAACTTCATTGGTGAATATGGAGTTTGCTCTTTGTGAGTTATGGTATTGGATGCTTTTTATATATTCTGAAAAAACTTTTGAAAATTCTAAATCAAGATCGTCTGTTTGTATAGTATATGTTCTATTATTATGGTTTGGGGAAGTGAACTCTATGGAGTAGATTCCATACTGTTGTGTTATGTTGCATATATCTTTTAAGTAGTGGTCTATGATTTGTCTTTTGATTTTTACATCTGGGAACTCTGTTTTACATGGACTGATTCCGGGTTCAAATAAGTTTACGAGTAAATTTTGACAAAATATGTGTTGTCCTCTATCAGTATCTGCATCTATTATAAAAGGAAAGATTTCATCGTCATCTGGAGTTTCGTCACCTGGGGTGTGTGTTGAACTCATTTTTCCGTTCGATGACTGTTAATATGTAATTATTGATGTGTCGAATTGGTTGATTCCAATTGTATAAATGTACTGGTTTGTGTTTATACTGCTTTTTTATTCTTCTTTTTCCTCTTTGTGATGAATTTGAAGTTGTTTCTGAGTCAGAAAAATATAATTGATCGTGTTGTGGGTAATTTTTATCTATTGATTCTTTTAATTTGTAAAGTTCGTCTAAACTGTTGGTTTCTGATTCTGAAAATGCGTTTCGATTTTTTGAAAATCTTTTTCGTGTTATTTGTCTTTGTTTAGTTATTATTTTCCTCTTTAGTGTTTGTCGTTTTGTGCGAATGTATCCAACTGTTTGTGTATGAGGTGTGATTACAAGGTCGTATTTTTTGTTATCTATTTCACAATTGTGTAAAACGATTGTTTGCTTATTTCCTAGGTTTTTAAATGACATAAGGTTTAGAATGACGGATGCAAAAAGTTGTTAAATGATTTCTATTTTCCTAAACTATTAGTTCTTACGATTTTTTGGTTAGCTTAACCTGGGTCTTTTTGTTCAGGGTTGGAGAGAAAAGTATATCGATTCCGAAGAATGATTTTTACTTTCTCGTGACTAGTATAAGCTAAGGTGTTAACTTACTTAATCTTACTTAGGGGTAGTGATTGTGTTCAAGGGTTGGAGAATAGTAAATCGATCCACAAGGTTCAGGTATAATTAGAACGCGAGTAGTTCGTTAGATACTATTTTAAACTTACTAAGTCTAAGATTTATCCTGGGTCTGGTAAGAGGGGGGATCAAGTGAAGGATGAATAACCGAAGTTCTTCACTGTTTATCCTAATTTGAATGATTAGTTTTGTTTAAAAATTTCTATTAGTCTTGGGTCTTTAGAAAGGGTTGGGTAGTGAATCGACGTTTGAGGTCGTTAGACACTAATTAAGTGGGTGGGGGAGAACAAAATTGTTCTGTTTGATCCAAGGATAAGCCTTGATGATCGAATTTGAGATTTTAATTAAGTAGAAAATGATTTAAGATCCAAGGATAAGCCTTGATGATCTGGTTTTAAATTAAGTGATTTTAGGTTTTAATAAAGTTTTAAATTTGTGTAAAGGAAAGATTTAGTGTTTTGATGATATTAGTGAGTTGATGATTGCTGTTATGTTTTAGGTGATGAAGCTGGAACAACAAGATGATTTATGATTACTAACCATTTATTGTCATGCTACTAATTTTTATTTTTATTTTCCAATAAATATTTTTCAAACATGTTTTGTATAATACTGCAGAGTTTTAGGAAAACGATCTTAGATCTTTTTATCAATCGTTATTGTATAATATTAATGTTGTTTAGCGCCTGAAATGATTTTGAAGATTAACTTCAAGGTTTTATGTTTGCAAATGGAAATCTAAATTCATTGCAAGTAGTATTCGAAATATAAAAGTTTGTTCTGGCTTTTGCCGAACTATCATATAACTATACGGCAAGTTTCTACTTTGTCGTATGTCGTCTTTGGTTCGAGGTCTTCTTCCAATTCCGGGTAGTTCTATTATGGTTCGGAATATTGGCTCTGATCTATTGAGTCGGAGAGACATTTCAATTAAATTATTGTCGTATAACATTTTGTAAATGTTTTTGTCTAATTTCTAATCTATTTTTGGTTAATTCTAATCTAGTAAGGTCTTGTTCGAGACTTATGGTCGCACCAGATGAGTTATGACTGGAGTGTATAACTCATAGAGTAATTTCGGATAGGGTACACCGTCTGCTCGTCACGCTATCTTATTTTCGGCCGGATAGATTCGTGCAACTTCTTAGTCTAATACCGATCCTAATCTTACTCTTATACTATCTAGTCTCAGGTTGTTTAACTAGTCTCTGCTAGGCTCAATAGATCTAGGGTATACTGGTTTATTGCGGCTGCTGAAGTGCTCGGGAGAGTCCAACTAATTTCTAAGTTAAATTCAAATCTCTCTGGTGCTGAAATTACAAGTAACTTCAGCACTTACAAATAAGTGGGTTGTTAGTTAGATGGATCATGATTGGTTAATATTAAATACTTTACATTGGTAAAACATTTAATTTATCCAATCATAAAATATAGTTTAGATCAGGTTCCAGAAGGCTTACTTTCACCCAGCAAACCTTTGACTTTCTTGAGTGGAAACACGACGTCCTTAGACTGCCCGAAATGAATCGATCCGAACGAAATCGCAAGACTCTTATCATCGGCTTGCGTACCGTATAGGCCAAGTGATCGCCCTTCTCAATTACCACGTTTTTTCCGTTGACCTCGGGAGTCAAGTTATAAGCCGCAGTAGTAATATGGTTTGCAACAGCATTCACGAAGACAGTTGCGACAAATGAGCAGTCGGGAATGAAGGAATAAAGTCCGCCTCCGATTGAGGAAACTTCCGAGAGCATGACACTGTTCATGCTGTATCCGAAGCCGAAAGTGTGGATGCGACCGGGCAGACCTTTGTTGTTCTTTTTGAAGTCTTCGAGGGTCTTAGACTTGCCCTTTGCTGGTCTAAAACGAATTGAAAAATCAAGACTAATTCGGTACCTCAATCTGGAATCGTTATTTCTATATACATTATTCTATTCTACCTATTTATATATCATATTTAATTCAATATTCGATTTTTACAAACCTGTTTTCCCTACTCCAACTGAGGGAAATCTCATGGCGCAGCCAGCAGTTCCTGTGAATGAAGACAGGACTGACCTACTCGGAATACCACCCTTTTGGGCGAAAACATCGGTTAACCCACCTTTCATTTGGGAGACATGGGTAGGAAAGTTTTTCTTGGCTCTTGGCCATTAGTCTCAAAGACAATATTTCACTGGGGGAGGTACTAATTTCCCCAGCAGAGTTAGTGGACGAACCTTACCCGAAGCCTGAAGCACCGGGGACTGATAAAAGTGCAGCAGATGTAACCAATAGAAACCTCCGAGTTGCAGCAGCTAAAAGAGGAATCGATGAGTACAATCAAGAGAGGAGGAGGAAAGGAATTTGCATTGGACATAACTGGTGTTACCATGAGGCAGAGGCCCGTTGGAAATCGCGACTTTTCTTCGCACTGGGAAAAGAGGGAAAAAAACGATTTTTGAACTCTTACCCTCACCTGGACCTCAATAGTAGCTCTTTCATTGATTTTCACAAACGCTGCGAAGATCTTTTCAAGGCAGAGCGGGACTACACAGTCGAAAGAATTAAGTTGTAAAATACAATTTTCATGCAGGATAATGACTCATTCTGATCATTTTTTGCCCGACTTAGCGCTCAAACTGCGCTGTGTAATTGGCCGCTCGATCAGGAAAGGGCGACGTTGAAAGACTTGTTCATTGGCCGCATTCGCGATGTGGAGGTTCAGAGGCAATTAATCAGAGCAAAGGCTAATCTTGATGATACTCTACAACTGGCATTGGAGAATGAGAAAGGGGCTAAAATTTCAGAAATTGCTCCCGCATAACAACGCTACTTCCACCACTACCAAATCTATTCGAGTCAAGCAGGAACCAACTTCGTCAGTACAACAATTCAAGAATCAAGGAAATAGCAGCCGGGAACGAGGTGTAAACCGTCCTAACCAACGACAAAATCAAAATAAACCATGTTATTTTTGCGGTAACCCGTTTTCCCTTGAACATCGCCGGTCGTGTCCGGCCAGAGAAGCTACTTACAATGCTTGCAAAAAGAAGGGTCATTTTGCTAAAGGTGTGTAACACTACAAAACGTCGCGTTAACATGGTACAAAATGAGGAGATGTCTTCAGATCAAGAGTGAAATCTAATTGAAGTAAATGGTGACAGCGAGCCGGAATATGGGGTCATGGCGATAGACGTTGAGCAGATTAACAATGTAGAACTTCTGAAGGCAGCGGGAGGACAACCAAGGAGCCTCAGCATTCAGTTACGTTCTGGTAACTCCCTTTTTCTCTGCTACGGTGGACACTGGCAGTCCCGTGTCTTTCTTAAACAAGAAAACGGCGGAAATACTCATGAAGCGGATTCCCAACGTTAAATTTAAGGACGTCGCGAGACACCATTAGACGTTACTTATGTTGATTATAATAATAAACCAATTAAACTGTTTGGATCACTAGAAATCCCTATTACGTCGAAGGGATGGAAAACCGAAAATGCGTGTTTCTTGGTTTCCGAAAATCGTACTCGAAATTTACTCGGGTTGAATCTTCATGAACAGTTAGGAATTGAAACGGTGCAACGCAGACCGGCGGAAGTTAGCTTGGCGGAAGATATACAGGATGTGGGTCCGACCTCACAGTTCTGGAGGGATCATTTTGTCAAAAGGTATCCTAATGTGTTCAGTAGGCTGGGGAGGTCGAAAAATCATAAAGTATTTACTAACTTTAAAGACCCTTTGGCACCTAGACAAGTTAAAGACCGAAAAGTCCCTATACATTTACAAGACAGAGTCACAGCTGAGATTAAAAAGCTAATCAAATACAAGCATATTGAAAAATTAGAAAAGTGTACTACGGATCATTTCATTGCGCCCATAGTATTAACAGCGAAGAAGGACGGGTCCAAAAAACTTGCACTCAATAATAAACTTATGAATGCCCAAATCTGGCAAAACAAATACCAAATGCCTAATATGCATGAATTGATTGATTTGGCGGCTCAAATCATTACTAGAGATACACCTGGAAAAGTGTGGTTTACTTCTCTTGATCTTAAATATGCTTTCAGTCAGTTACCATTATCGAACTTGACCAGTAGTTATTGTAACTTTAAAATTTTGTGTGGAGAAGCAACGGGCACATATAGATTCAAGACTGGTTTCTACGGATTGACGGATATGCCCACGGAATTCCAGAAAACGATGGACTGTATTTTGCAAGGGTTGGAAGGTGTTATATGTTACCTCGATCGGACGAAGAAGGATGGGCGTTAAAACTTAGTAAATGTGAGTTTTCAGTTAACAAGCTGGTCTTGTTAGGGTACGAAATCGATGAAAACGGGTACGCCCCAAAGTTCTCGAAAATCGAGGCTATTAAATCCTTGTTGCCACCAAAAACCCTTAAACAATTAGAATCGTTTATGGGGCCCTCAATCATCTTCAACGTTTCATTCCGGGTTAGCATAAATATACGGTCGCGTTCAGGGCTTCTTTGAAAGCGGAGAATAAGAAATCTTTTTTGTGGGGGGAAGAGCAAGATCGTGCTTTCCAGAAAATTTTAAAACTCATTGCAAACATCCCTAATTTGTTTCACTATGACGCTTCAAAAGCTTCTCGAGTTAAATGTGATGCAAGTCACAGCGGGCTGCGGGCTTGCTGGGAACAGGAGGTGGAACCAAATGTATGGGTACCGATCGCGTTTGCCTCAAGATTTCTTAACTCCGCGGAAATCAAATATAGTACCAATGAGTTAGAGCTTCTGGCTATTGTATGGGCCTGTGATCATTTTCGTACTTACTTACTTGGTAAGCGTTTTGTTATCCTAACAGATCATAAGGCCATTATTTCAGCCCTCAACGAAACGTATGGCAAGAACTCTTATCATTACGTCGCCAATCCGTGTTATTTCAATAGTCAGATTTGACTATTAGTGTACATGGATTCCGAGTTCAAATGATATAACATGCACATGCCATGGATTCCGCGTTCAAATACTCGCATGGCGGCACGAACAGGCATATACGCAAAATCCCGGAATCCGGGACAATCAATTAAACCACCGAAAATTGGCAAAATCCCGGAATCCATGGTATAGCGAACAATTACTTGAATTCGGAATCCAGGACATGGTCCCGGAATCTGAGCCATTTTTACTCAACCACTAAGCAAATATTTGCTAAACAAAAACCATGGAATCCAAGACGTTGGAATCCAGTGAGAAAAATGGCATGGAATCCAAGACTTTTATATTTTTGAAATTATCTGGCAGAAGTTTACAGTTTTTAAGCAATTTTACTCCATCTTTTTTGTTTAGTTTGTCCTTCAAGTTATTATAACTGCAACTATTAACTTACGTGCTAAAATACTGTATTCCGATGAAAAAAGTTGTGGGTACAATCGTTTGATCAAACTTAGTTATAACTACTTGTAGTTGCAACTACTAACTAATTAGTTAATTTCGAGCGTGCCGAAATACTGTACTGAGGTTAAGACACTGCCAGTGTCTGAACTTGTCTGATCAAACTTAGTTATAAGTAGGCTACTTGTAGTTGCAACTACTAACTAATTAGTTACTAAGTAATTAGTAATTTCGAGCGTGCCGAAATACTGTACATGTACTTCGATGAAAAAAGTTGTGGGTGCAAATGTTCGAACTACTACTAGTAGTAACTACACGTATGTAACATACAGTATGTTGAACATAAAATATATGGAACTTCCATTGAATGGGTGTAACATAACTTGAAAAGTTTCTAAGGTAAAAAAGCTGAGCTTGTGAACTTCACATGTTGAACATGTATCGAGCAACTTTATCGCCATAATCGTATCGTAGCTGTTCGAAAGGCTCAATGTTTCTTCGGGCTTTGAATACAGCTAATCGTTTTGGCGGATCGAAGGCATTAAGAACAACTTCTATGATCTTCATATTCGCATCCAATTTCTTCTTGGAGTTTAGCGTGCTGTGATTAGCCAGTCGACCAAGACAGCGGTTGGTTGGATGTTCAACACACACTTCTGAAGAAGCATCGATGAAACGCTTCACAGGCGCGCCAATTTCCAGAACAAATTCAGTCGGAACAGAACGGTTCCTTATCAAATCTTGATATGTTTTATCTGTCACAGCAACCCCATGGTAGTCCATGATAATATCATCCTTCTGGAAGGCCTGTGTGCTGACAACGCCTGAATCAGAAAATGTTCAACATTTAAAGTTTACTCTATATTATGTAACACTGTTACATGGCATTTTTGAATGGAATTCAAAAAACTGTATTGGTTGAAAACTTTATGACTTTTTAAAACTTTAAACTATAACGTTTGAATCAAAAAAGAAATTTTTTTGAAAAAGAAACTTTTGAAAGTTTTGGAAACTTGTCGTCAACGTTTTCAAGAAACGCAAGATTACCTCTTCCGAAGGTAGGGAAAACAACATCACAAATGCCAACCCATTCTTGCGTATCACATCTGTGGGCCAGAAGCGTTTGTGCTTTCAATGAAAGAAAGTTTCCAGTGCCTTTATAACTAATGCCGCTGGAATCAGAAAGCGGCTTTTGTTGTCGCTTGCTTTTCTCTTTCTGCAGCATGGCGATTTGGGACATGACTTTCTTTAGGTCGTGATGAGTTTCCCATTTGTTTCGCTGGAAAAAACCCGACACGCGCGTCTCCGATACAACAAAGTTTGGATACTGTTTCACAAAAGCTTGTGCTCTAATTGTCTGTCTAATGTATCTTTGTTGATCTTGTCTACATCGCACAGTTTTTTCAACATCTTTGTAGGTGTGATTGACAATCTGGAAAAACGTGAGCGTATTGTTTCATACATCCAATTGATAAATTGTGATACTGTATAAAAAAACTGTGAAGTACAAATCAGCTGAAAC